AGTGGTTGAGTTTCTTTGCAGGGGGTCTGGCATGGCCTGGTATTTTTCTTCCCTCTGTATGAATAGTAACGAGGATGAGGTTCTGAACGGAAAGAACAAGACTTGACTGTCTTCAAAGACGATAATGACAACTGGCTCTTGGCAAGTGATTAAAATAGCACGACAGTCGAGCGTGTTAAAAGCCGTGCTGAGCTCCTGCAGCACCATATATTAAACATGTCTTCTGAGCAGTGTGCGAGTCAGGGGTTTGCAGCAGGCCCCTGATGTAAAGACCCATGACTTTCATGGTGTTTCATCATGATGATGGATTCAATGCTCAAAATGTGGTCAAGGCCGTTTTTTAAGTTAAGTTATGAAGTAATTAGCAAATGTCTGTGCATGTGGCAGTTTCAACACTTCAAAAAGGAGAGTTTTCCAAACCCTCAAGACTATTAGTCAAGTGTGATTCTGTAGTAGGAGTGTTCAGGGAATTTCTCTCTTTACTCAACTCTAGAAAAGTATGTTTAGATCACATAAGTTAAACTACTTCAAAAAGAGAGTCTGTACACCTTAAGAGAGTAAATTGTAATTCAAAGAAGGCATGACAATGTTCATTTCTCCGTGTCTCAACTATACACATGCAGCCTGGGTGTGGACACCCATTGGTTTGTCTACTAACTTTAAAAGCCTGACGTTTCTGGAGCCAGGAGTGACAATATTTGAATGCAACAGTGGAGTTAATGTCAGCAAATGCCAAATAATCATTCAATGCTTTACAGTCTGTGCAGCGTAATCGTTAGAGCTATAAACCACACAGCATTTCCTCAAATTTGCAGGAGAAACCCCCGAAGGCACTATAACAACAAAACCAGCCCAGTGACTTAAGAAGCGGTAGAATTCTTACCTTTAGAAATATGTCCAGACAAGACTGGATTCCTGGCCTTGGTGGAGTTAGTGGTTACCTAGTGGTTACTTAGTGGTTACCGAGTGGTTACTTAGTGGTTACTTAGTGGTTACCTAATGGTTACTTAGTGGTTACCTAGTGGTTACTTAGTGGTTAACTAATGGTTACTGAGTGGTTACTTAGTGGTTAACTAATTGTTACTGAGTGGTTACTTAGTGATTACCTAATTGTTACTGAGTGGTTACTTAGTGGTTACCTAATGGTTACTGAGTGGTTACTTAGTGATTAACTAATTGTTACTGAGTGGTTACTTAGTGGTTACTTAGTGATTACCTAATGGTTACTTATTGATTACCTAATGGTTACTGAGTGGTTACTTAGTGATTACCTAATGGTTACTGAGTGGTTACTTAGTGATTACCTAATGGTTACTTATTGATTACCTAATGGTTACTTAGTGGTTACTTAGTGATTACTCAGTGGTTACTTATTGATTACCTAATGGTTACTGAGTGGTTACTTAGTGATTACCTAATGGTTACTTAGTGGTTACTTAGTGATTACTCAGTGGTTACTTATTGATTACCTAATGGTTACTGAGTGGTTACTTAGTGATTACCTAATGGTTACTGAGTGGTTACTTAGTGATTAACTAATTGTTACTGAGTGGTTACTTAGTGATTAACTAATTGTTACTGAGTGGTTACCTAGTGGTTACTGAGTGGTTACTTAGTGATTAACTAATTGTTACTGAGTGGTTACTTAGTGATTAACTAATTGTTACTGAGTGGTTACCTAGTGGTTACTGAGTGGTTACTTAGTGATTAACTAATTGTTACTGAGTGGTTACTTAGTGATTAACTAATTGTTACTGAGTGGTTACTTAGTGGTTACCTAATGGTTACTGAGTGGTTACTTAGTGATTACCTAATTGTTACTGAGTGGTTACTTAGTGGTTACCTAATGGTTACTGAGTGGTTACTTAGTGATTAACTAATTGTTACTGAGTGGTTACTTAGTGGTTACCTAATGGTTACTGAGTGGTTACTTAGTGATTACCTAATGGTTACTTAGTGATTACCTAATGGTTACTGAGTGGTTACTTAGTGATTACCTAATGGTTACTTATTGATTACCTAATGGTTACTTAGTGGTTACTTAGTGATTACTCAGTGGTTACTTATTGATTACCTAATGGTTACTGAGTGGTTACTTAGTGATTACCTAATGGTTACTTAGTGGTTACTTAGTGATTACTCAGTGGTTACTTATTGATTACCTAATGGTTACTGAGTGGTTACTTAGTGATTACCTAATGGTTACTGAGTGGTTACTTAGTGATTAACTAATTGTTACTGAGTGGTTACTTAGTGATTAACTAATTGTTACTGAGTGGTTACTTAGTGATTAACTAATTGTTACTGAGTGGTTACTTAGTGATTAACTAATTGTTACTGAGTGGTTACCTAGTGGTTACTGAGTGGTTACTTAGTGATTAACTAATTGTTACTGAGTGGTTACCTAGTGGTTACTGAGTGGTTACTTAGTGATTAACTAATTGTTACTGAGTGGTTACTTAGTGATTAACTAATTGTTACTGAGTGGTTACTTAGTGGTTACCTAATGGTTACTGAGTGGTTACTTAGTGGTTACCTAATGGTTACTGAGTGGTTACTTAGTGATTACCTAATGGTTACTGAGTGGTTACTTAGTGATTACCTAATGGTTACTGAGTGGTTACTTAGTGATTAACTAATTGTTACTGAGTGGTTACCTAATGGTTACTGAGTGGTTACTTAGTGGGTTAGTAAGTTGTTATGAGTTGACGCTATACAAATAAAAATTGATTGATGATTGATTGATTAAAGGTAGAAATAAAAATAGGCTTACCTGGTTCTGTTGAACATGATCCTCCACCACATCCGTGGCTCTTCTCTATTTTAATCTATACTATCTCTAAAGCTTTATCTAAACTTACCCCTGACTGGATGATGCTTTACAATTCTACAATTAACAGACGCTTTTGTCCAAAGCAACGTACATCAGAGCGTAAGTACAACACAAGAAAGGATCTAGAAAAAGAGGAAGTATTGTCAGTAAGTGGTAAAACGAACAGCTTTGAGTCCGATTGGGCACACAGGTGCTAATGGGCAGTGCACAGAGGCAAAGCACAACATGGACAGCTGTTCTTGAGAGTTCTAATCAGCATCAAAAGCATCCTAAATATTGTCATTATCAAACAAAACCATCATCATCATCATCATCATCATCGTCATCAATGATATCATCAAGCGCGTAGGTGTTCATGAAAGAGCTGGGTCTTTAGCTTTTTCTTAAAGATGCAGAGAGACTCTGCAGATCGTATGGAGTTTGGAAGTTCATTCCACCACCAGGGGGCAACAGAGGAGAAGAGTCTAGTCAGCCTTTCATTTGCAGCGCCTAGTGGGAGGGAAGGAGTGTAGACCTGGATTATAGAGTTTAAGTAAGGAGTAGCTGTTTTTTGTTTTGTGAGCGAGCAGCAGAGTTTTAAATTTGATACGAGCAGTTACTGGAGCCAGTGTAAGGAGATGAACAGCTGTGTGACATGTGCTCTTTTGGTTAGGTTGAAGACAGTCATGCTGCTGCGTTTTTGGATCATCTGCATCATCTGTTTTGATAGTGCATGTAGGAAGACCTGCCAGTACGGAGTTGCAATAATCGCTTTAATTAGTGCTTTTGTTAGTTTTCTTCTACAATTTCTAGCCAACTGCAAACTGTCACACATACAGTAAACAAGAAAACACACTACATGCAACGCTGAATGTGGCGTCAACAAGATAAGAAGAATGAGAAGGGGATGAGATAAAGAGGATGAAGGGTGGAAGATTAATGATTTCTGCCAGCCGTTTTTTCAGTCATTATCAAAAGTGGAGCAAAAGTTTTAAGTACTGCTCAAGTGATATGATGAATGGTAATGGTTTTTACTGCTTCTTCTTCACAGCTTTGGGAACTAAGAAATATTGATGGATGCCTCTTTGATTTTAATTTCATGAATCAGAATATTTGTTGGCCCGCTGTGATTTCAGACCCTCTGTTTGAGGAGGAATATCAAATGAATATCTTGAATGCTAAAAGTCTTTAATAAAAACATCTTTGAGGATATAGTATCTTTGCCTGATGAGCTACATACAGTGTCAAGTCCATCATAGGGAAAACTAGAATAACTTGCTGTTGTATGCCTCTGCCCAACGGTCAAATTGCAGATTACATAAAGCGTGTATTTTACAGAATGGCAGTGTCACTGTGACATTGGCAAAAGTATAGGCCAACATTTAAAAGCAGAGGTCGCACCACAATCATTAACATGAGGGACATTAACCAGAGAATATCTTACTCTCTCTTTGTGTTTCTGATCACAGACAATCTCTTTAACTTGGACTGATAGATACAAATAAAACCAATGTTTTACAATTCCCTCTGGGCTTTGCAGGGATATCAACAATATCGAATGAGAATGGGACCAACATGAGGTCACAGAAATGCTGACCTTTGACCACCAAAATCAAATGAGATCATCCTTGATTTTAAAAAAAATGTTTGCTCAATTTGGTGTTTGTCCTACCTCATAAGGTTTCCTGGCATATCGTAACTATACAAGAGACAGGGATGAAATAGCTGGAAAAGTTATTTTTCAAGTTGTCATGTAACTGAAGTGAAATTTGGCCCAAAAATATCATATTTATAATTGATCAATTCAGATATAATTCAATTAAAAGTCATGTCATGGTTTAGACATGAACTCGAATGGTTAAAACACGGTTTAAGAGGTGACAGTGACCTTTCACAAAATTCTCCCAAATTCATGCTTTCCTGTTGGATTTTGAAGGTGTTACCTAACATATTTTATACAAACATATACCTGACATTATAGCAATATCATGTTTACAAGAAATACATATGGATGAACTTTAAAACATTATGCCTTCTATCCCGGCTGTTGGAGACTCAGAGACACAATGAAATGAAATGTTCCTTGTGGGAGAAATCACAATGAGCTTTAATTTTCCTTTTGATTTTTAACGTTTAAAAATCCATGAGAAACAGAAAGCTGCTTAAATAAAAATGTCAATACAAAAAGTCAGCAATATATCCTTTTTTTATTCTCAACACATTCATCATTTAGCAGAGAAAAGGAGCCGTAAAAGGAAAAAAAAATAGAAATGATCACAAAAATAAACTGCAATCCACTTAGTTACAATATTTAAAATAAAAATCCCAAATAAACTTTGAATGTCAATAAATCCTTTTCACAGCATTTTATCCCTCCCTCCACTATTATCATAATTAATCTTATAAACACATTTACAAACGTGAACACTGAACAGCAGACTCATGATGTGGCAACTTGCACTGAGAAAAAAAAAGAGCCCTGTTTTATTTTTTATGAGCAGAAACACCTTTTACTCCTTCCATATATTACATCGACCAAACTGCTGCGTTGGGAAGAGCATCATTGAGAAACAGGCCGACTGTTCAGAATCAAAGTCTCGGTATCCAGTGTGAATGAAGAAGGCTGGTGGAAGACCCAATGTGCAGACACATTTCTAGAGAACACAACTTCTTAGGTATGAAAAAAACAAGCTGGTTTTTATGGAGACTCATTGTAATCTATATGAAATGAATGAATTCAATAATGTTAAATTATTAACTGAGTAAGTCCAGACTGAAAAGCAATAATCAGAATCACTTTGAGAAATGCTCAGCTCCTCTTTTTTTTTTCTTTTTCAAAATTCTGTTTGAATCCAAAACATTATCACGTTGTGATTCAATAGGACAGAAGTCTGCAGCCGTACTAGCAGCTCTGTGAGGCTCAGCTCAATCACAGAGCTCAGTCAGCATGTTCACACTGACAATGCTATGCTAACATGCTATTCATCAGATTGGCTAACATGTTCAAAATGTGCACCAGGTGAGTTCAGCACATTAGCACGCTAACATTCCACACTCAGAAATAGCCTGACAAATAATGGCTACTGTTGTCTACTGTCTTATCCTGCTATTGGCTGGTACCAAAGTTTGACTTCAGGGCTTTCCTCTGAAGAGCGCCGTCACCGTGGAGGACATGAGAGCAGCCTCCTGTGAAAGTTCACAAGGACTTTTAACTTTAGCCCAAATCATGAACTTTTCACTTTAACTTGTGGGTAAAGTATTGATAGAGCCTAAACCTGACCGAACTATTGTTTGACCTATCAAATCTCCTGAGTGAACTCAGATCATTAAAAGCATACATGTTTGTTCCTATGTTCATTGACTTCATGTTTTATGTGTGCGTGCTGTAAACTACATTCTTTTTCCTTCATTACAATTCATGACTGACAGGAAACAAGTCAAAGAACTGAAGCAAATGGTTGATTAAAGCAGCAAATTCAAACACAACTACTTCAGCCATGTTATTTACATTCGTTTCCCATTTTGCCCTTTTTTTTCTACCCAGGCAATACCATCTCCATTACCTATTGAAGTACATACATATATACATGACTCGACGGAAGGCAAAGCTGAACAATTCATAGATTAATCAACAGAACAGCATGGATTTGCATTTTTTTTTTTTTTACTTTAAATTAATTAGTAATATTCATCTTATTTACTATCCCTGTTCATGATCATGTTGTCTCTGCTGCCTTGTACAGTCTCCTGTGTGCTTTAAGACTCATGCTTGTTTTACTCTTTTTATATCATACAAAGTACAAGAGGAAGAGGACAAGGTTCAATGTTTCTTATCTATGACACATTCATGAATAGAATAAAAGCTGAGAGAATTTTGGCATTAAATGACGAGCATTGTAGCATTTTTTTTTAAATACATTCAAATGCTGAACTGGTGTTAGCCCTGAGCATGCCTGCAGTGATTGAACCCTGCATCTTGTCTTACAGGTATGCCAGGCGATGACAGTTGAGCATTTTCAAATATAAAGGATTTTTTTTTTCTGTAAACACTGTTTAACTTTGATTTTCTGTGTAAAAATACATGTTGTTCTTTAACCGGACAAACACCTTTTTTTTTAATACTAAATATATAAACACAGTTGTGAAGTGCTCTCTGTCATACTGTGATTGGTGTGTTTGTACAATATGAGGATAGGATGTGTTAACGCTTTGGCAGTAGAAAAAAGAAATAATGATAAATGGCACAAAATTGTCCTGGTCTCGAGCTGCATTGTTATGTTTGTTAAGTTCAAATAAGCAGTGAGTACAGTGCTGTATGTTATTCTTTTTTTCTCCAGTCTCTCACTTTAACATCTTTTGTACGCAAAGGGATGAGCCGGCTGGCAGTCCCGTCTATGTAAACTCGATGTAAATACAGCTCGGACATCAACAAAGCCGGCGCGACTTGAGCGTCACACTCATTGTGGACAGTCATGACTCCGAGTTTGGCTGTATTTATTTGAAAAATTTTGCACATTCTGCCTTTAAGTGTGCGATGTAGCATGTCATTCAGTAAATAGATAACGCCCCGACCCCCCAGATCATAGAGAAATATCACTGTCCAATCATTTTAAACCTGGTTCCTATGTTCACAGTTCCTAAGGGGCTAAATAACTGAAAGTAAAAAACAGTTTTGGATATGATCCAGGTAACTGTGCCTGCCATAACATTTGCAATGTATTCTATAGCGGCTGTTGTAATAAATAGCAAATGCAGCCAATTGGTGTATGTCAAAAAAGGCCAGCGCTTGCCACAGAGAGGCTCGGATTGTGACAGTTATGAAAAACAGTCATTTTATTACTCACGCCACTGGTGCTGCTTTTGTAACCTCTGACCCTTTAGGTTTGTTGGGTTGGGTTAAAAAATGTAATGTATGTAAATGGAGTCTTAGAAAAAGTGGTGTAAACTAAGTTGAGGAGTTTTTCAATGTGGAGGAAGCTTAAAAACAAGAAGGTTAATCTTTGAAGAGAAGATTGATACTATGTTCTCAGACACTTTGAGTATTAATCTGAGCCTGCTGGTGAAAAAAAACAATATTTTGTTTCCACTAGCTGGGAATGGTACCAAAATAACCAATCCATACTGTCATACTTTTTTTTTGCCCTTACCCCTCTGTTGGGGTGCAAAGTGTACTGATCCGACCCTAAAGGGAGGAGCTAGACACACTGCGGTCCCCTGATTGGTCAAAAGAATCGTCACTTGTGAGACAGCGGTAATAAAGAGAGTTTTTTTTTGATAACCCGATGGCTGAAGGTCAGTCTCACAGATCAAACATAATGGTAAAGAAATCAGGACCTCCATCAAGCGATCCTTCATCAGCTCTCTAATTAAAATGTCAGCCTGTGATAGCTGACCTCCGTGCACAAACTCTGATGAACTAATTAAAAGCTGATGAACTAATTAAACCAAAAAAAAAAACTTTATATTATATTCCCTTTGCTGTAATTGTCAAAGCATGTTGAAACACTACGATCAATCATTTACCTGACCTCGACTTTAGCTCCACTCAGAAAGTTAAGTAGAAAAATCTGTGCTTCTGTTGCCCTCTGTCAAGGGTTATATGTAGAAAATATTATTATATAGATCCTTTTTTTCACATATTTACAACAGTGTCAGCTATAAGTGCAGCACATGGAAGGAATAAATTAAAGCTTTATGAACTGATGTGACCACCTGAGACGAGCGATAAAACTGAAGATCAGTCGTCACAACGTAAAAAAAAAAAAAGCTCAATCATTCCAGGTTGTTCCGGTGAATATGGAGTTTAAAAGGTGTTGACAAACAGATATCAAGAAAAGAAAGCCCCAGTGTGAAACTGTATATGTTAAACCACTCCAAACAAGCATGATACCGGCAAGCACCGAACCCTTAAAGCTCTGTGCCTCAACAGTCGCTGAGTCCCGCTAAAAAAAAAAGTTGACCTGACCAAGCTTTTCTCCCCAAGACTTCCTCCTCATCGTCGAAGTGCCTTCTGCTTCTTGTTCCGTGCAGGTGTCCTGATCGGCTGACTGGCGACTCCGTTTTCCAGAGCGCCACGAATTGGAGCTGCCGGCGGGGAGGTGGGAGAGAAAACGTCGGGCTCTCCGTCCATGCTGGACTTAAAAGGTCCGGCTGGGGAAAATTTCAGAGGACTGACGAATAAAGAGACGAGGAAGAAAAACAGATACGATTATCAGCATGGAAGATATTAAATATAGGTGAGAGAAATGTGCACTTAATAATCAGTATATTTTCTCATGATTTTGTTCAAAGCCAAATATATTAGTCCAGATTTACAACCTTTATTTGCAAAGTGATGACATTGCATTGATTCTTTTTAAAAATATTAATTTGAAGCGCTTGTCTTGAATTGTGTGATTTGCTACTGAATAACTGATTGAACTTCCTGTGCAGCTTTCAATAGTCTGTTTGCACTAACCTGTTCTAACTGAATGCAAAATGTAAAAAAAAAAAAAAAAAAAGGCTCAGAATGTGGAGCTCAACCAATGCAAGCTTCACGTCTCTCTTTCTGTCCATATGTTACCTGATGGGTGTGCGTGGACTGCTGTTGTGTCGGCGTACGGGTCGTGTTCTGGGTTCGAATGAGAAGCCTTCCTTTAGACTCTCCAGGACAGACGGAGCCACGTAGGTGAAACCCTGGAAGAAGAGTAGTAAGAGCTTCATTTAGATTCATTCTGTAAATGAGTATTAGATCAAAACAGGTTTAACTTAAGTCCATTCAAATAGCTTGTTAAGTGTCTGACAACATTACAGAAAGGATCCCTGCAGATATAGACCTTTTTTTTTAAAGAGTTAAATCCTTTGATTGATGCCAGACACAGCAGTTCAATTGCTCTCGACAAAGCCACAAAAACAAATAAATTGATCCAGGTCTCATTTACCTTCTACAAAGTAAAGCTACTGTTTGTGTTAATAGAGTCTAGTAGTAAGAAGAGAGCTGTAACAACTGTTTCTGGTGTCAAAGAAAAGCAACAGAAGCTTTAATAATACAAAGATCCTTTCTGTAAACTCTTCAGAAAATGAGAATAAGCAGCAGCCAGCACTAGAACACGTTGGCCTGCAGGAGTTACTGTGCAGCCATTGTGGTCCTTTTTATGTGCATGAAGGTTCATAGAGTTGAACAAAATGAATTTCCCTTCAGTCTTTTTTGGGTTAGTTGTTAAGAGGGAGAACAACTAAGTCACTGACTATATACTGGAAATGAAACTGAGGTTGGTTTCCAGTAGTGTGTGTTTCTTTGAGCCTAAACATAAATAACAAAAAGAGTATCTCACAGCGAAGGCCAGCTCTGCACTGTGGCTGAGGGTCGTATCATCTGGACTGTCCACTGGTGTCTGTCGGGTAAATCTGGTGTCAAACTGGCTCACATCCTCGTCCGATTGCTACAGAGGGACGAGAAGAAGACACAGACGGAGAGAAAGAAGCAGTGATTAAGGTTGGTTTCACTCTAGGGACTCACTCGGACTCCTATCCGAGTACGATTGACCCCAAAGTCCGGTTCATTTGATCACTGTGAACACAAACATTCTGTACTCGTACCGAGAAGTGAACACAATCATGCTCAAAAAAGGAAGTGGGACTGCTTTATGACGTAATTCTATACGGCTCCAGTCGCTTCAAAAACCGTCATATCCCCGCAGCATGGGCACGCTTAATCTTCTGAGCTGCACAATAGATGTGGAAGTATGAAGAGGGTCGTTGTTGGCGTCTCAGAAATAACAAAAACATCCACAGTTAGCAGGATGGACTCAGTCTGGTGGTTGCCATGGTTGCGTTTTCTTCCTACTGCTTTTTGGCGGATTTGTGAAAGCCAACTATGTGCATATTGCAACCTGCTATATCATAATGTGTACATACTCAAGTGTACAAGGGTATAGAAAGACATTATTAATATGAACGAAGACCAGCGGGAGAGAGAGGAGGGGGGGAACAATCATGCCTGGGCCCTGTATGTGCAATGTGTGCTGAAATGTGCTGAAATAACCCTTTAAGCCCAGAGTAACAGAAACAAAAAAGTCAACATGCTATTGTGTATTATTATGAGCCCAAAGGTGAACTTTGACCTACCAGCTGTGGTTTGTATGGCGGCTCCAGCCTTTTGTTCAGCAGGTCATCCCAGCTGATGTGCTTAAAGAACGGATGTTTCTGCAATAGAAAAAAAAAAAAAAACGAAATTTACAAATTGTATTTTGAGCTGACTTGAACATTAATCCCAGACCAACAGGGAAACTGTGAGTCATGTCTCTTTCCTTTATGGGATGTGGTTAAAATTCGGGAAAGCATTTCAAACATTTCCCTCAAAGGTGAACTTTTTAAAATCCATCTGCACCTTTTTTTTAACCAGCTCTGTAACTCTCACTGACTTATCAATACATGTGAGAATCGAAAAGACAATGAACACAATTTGTCTTCTTTTGATATTTGTCTTTGACTTACCTGTGTATACATACACTTTTAAAAACACAAAAGTACACATTACACAAGGTGGCACATGAACACAAAAATAATTGGGTTTATTTGAACGATCACATCGTCTGTTTGTCTCTCAGAAAAACTTGGTCTCAGCATTGATGTATTTTCACTTGTCTGGTGTAAGGGAATCCATCGTAAACACAGCAGGCTGTAAGCAGCATCAGTTACTTGTGGTTACTGTAACTGTAGGATGAAGAGTTTGTACCTGGATATCAGCACAGTCCGTTTTACTGGAGCCGAGTCTTTGAGCTGGATTCTTCTTCAGCAGCTGGAAAGATAGATTTGAAGAGTGGAACAAAATCATTCTGAAGATTTACGATTGTGTGATAATGTTGCTAACTTTTTAAAAATCATCCATCACTTTTTTTAATTTGGAAAATAAATCCTGTTTCAAAATGTTTTCTAATGAGCAGCAAATTAAAAAGGTGTCAGAGACTGGTGGCTGCCACGTTTCCTCAGGGGCAAATGCACCTAATCAAAGTACCTTGACTGATTTGTTGTTGTTGTTGTTACTGAAAATGTCTAATATGTATAGGGTTGGATGATGGAAACATAATAGCGGTTTCTAGTTTTAAAAAGAAACATTGCAGAAGGTATCACTGCAGAGCGAGACCTTTTTATGTTTTTATTCAACTAGAAACTGCTGTTATCTTCCAACCTGCCAGACTCCAACAATGAAAACATTGAACTCAAAGAACACAGGAGTGACGTGCTGGCTGATTTGATTAGTCGCTCTGTGTTATTGGGTGTAAACAAAAATATTGAGTGGATCCTACCTAACAATTTAAATCACCAGAGTGACTCAAACCCCCCCCCAAAAAACTAACCAAATGAGGTATACATAGTCAGACACCACACACACCCACATATTCACACATTCACACCCACACACAGTAAAAGTTCTGCTTTTCTCAATGGAGTCTGGTGGCTTTGAAGAGTGCATGTTCAAGTTGTCAATATCAATGTTAAAGCTGTTTTTTTTTTTTTAAAAGAGAGATTGTTAGTCCTATTAGTCAATTAGACCCCACAAAATAAAACAAATAAAAAAAGTGGGGCAGAGGATTAGAAAATACCACGAGTCACTTTAAAAGAGGAGCGCTCAAACTAAATATCACAACATTCATAACCCTCAAGTTTCTTCACCTACTTATTGCTTTTTATTTTGTTTGGTGGTCAAATAAAATCAGGGTAACAACGAGAACAAGTCCATTTTGAGTTCAGTAAAAGAGAAGAGTGAAACCCCGACAGATTAAACACTGCTACAGAGGTTTCAATAAGGGCAGAAGCCTCACACGTCTCATTATCTTAAAGATGAATAATACATAAAAGCAAATATATGAAATGCTTTGAGAAATTGAGTGAATCAGGAAAATGTGTGAAGCCAAACATCAACTGAGTTTTTCTGTCATCAGTAAAAATGACCTGATGCTATCTCTGAATATTTCCTCTGGGTCATCAGTGATGAACATAACGTTTCTCCAGCAAATCAGATGAAAGCAGAATTTAAAATCAGCTAGAAGTGGACATTATGTGTGTGTGCACATGTGTTTGTGTGTGTACTGTATGTGTGTTAGTACCTTCTTGATAAGGTCCCGGGCATCGATGGTCAGGTATGGTGGCAGATTCAGTTTACACTTTAAAATCTTATCGATGGTCTTCTTCCTGTTTTCAGCTGTGAAGGGGGGCTGGGGAAAACACAAAGAGAGGTAGCCATTAGTTACACACACAGATAGTTGTATTGGTTGATGCATTATTCACTTCTTGCACAGAAGTCCTCTAAAAAAATAAATAAACCTTGGTTACTGTGGTGTCATGATCTAGCTGCAATGCAGTCTTGCAAGTGATATGGGTTGAATCAATTTTCAAAAGTAGATGTGCTGGCTTGGATAAGACATTTATCTGAATCCATCACTTGTTGTTCTTCTAGTTTCTCCTTTATTAAAGGAGCAATATGTAACTCTGACATGTAGTGTTTAACATTGGTACTGCAGTCCAAATTCAAAACATTGGAGAGTGCTGACTCTGCTCGTGGAGCTTTTGAGGCTTTTTAGGTCGCGTAGAATCAGTTATATCTGAACCAGTTCACTTGCCCACTTCCTTCATTGTAACACCTGTTGGCTTGCCGTTTGCCTGGCTCTAGTCAAAACAAAAAACAGACATTTCTGGCCGGAATGGAAACTCAGAAGGAGGACATACTGTGCTGCTGAGAAGCCAGCATATTCAACATAGCATGTTTCCTTAATGTCTGATGATATAGTACGGTCATTTTATGATTTAATTCAGTAGATATCTTACATAATGCTCCTTTAATATGTCATACTCATACTGTCATTTTTCCGTTACGTCACACACAGGGCTGGTTTCAGTTCAAGCAGTGTCTCGTAAAGAACATGTGAAAATGACTAAATGGACGAGGAAACTTAATTCAAACAAATCGTCTAATAGGATGAGAAAAGCTGTGAAAAACTGTCCGTGAACACGTTAGCCAACATATTCACTTCAGCAGTTACTTCAGTGAATTTTCTCGCCCCATTGATCAATGACAGATTACTTGCAGGACGTTAAGCCTTATTTTGAAACCCTCGACTGTCGTATCGAGCTTTGGGTTCAGAGCCAAAGAATGAGATCACTGATACAAGCTGCTTCAGACTCTGTAGTGACATTCAGGACGAGTCCCATTGCCATTACTTGACTGCTTTCTTAATAATGAATAACCATTCTACCACACAGTTCTAACTTACTGATCCAGTCATCATATCGTACATCAAGGCTCCGAGGCTCCACCAGTCCACTGCTTTGTTGTGTCCCGTCCTGGTCAGGATCTCTGGAGCCCTGAAGAAAAAAGACAAGATACAAACATGGGGAATGAAACACTTTTCAATCGTGTTTTTACTAATTTTTTAGTTTTATTCAGAGTGTAAATCCTGTTTAAAAGTAAAAAATGCAATATAATGTTTATGCCTTTGGGGGTGGGGACAAAACAGCTAAATACAATATTCCTACAAAAGGGTTGAAAGAAACTAGTTTCACAAGTGAATAGTTGTGATTCAGAGTGGGCGTGTTAATGTGAGGATGAGCTCAGGGTTACTCACATGTACTCTATAGTGCCACAAAAGGTGTGAGTGACAGATCCATCATGAATTGATTCTTTACAAAGACCAAAGTCTGTTAGCTTGATGTGTCCTTAAAAGAAAAAAGAAACAGATTCAAGTTATTATCTGAGGACAAGGTCTAAGAATAAATTAAGACAATATGTTATACGAAAGCACAAAATTAATTTTCAACCACATGGCCAACGAGGACACATAAAAGGTCACATTATGCAAAATAGACTTTAACATTGTTAAGTCTGCCTTCTCACTGTTAACAACAGGGCATGGAGCGAGAAAGCCTAAACAACCACAGCCCTTCCAGAGAGGGGGCGTGGTCAGACACAGCTCATTTACATTTAAAGGTACAGACACAGAAACAGCCTGTTCTGAGCAGGGCTGAAATAGAGGGGTTTGTAGACATGATCAAATACAGGATCAGAGTGGATTTCTGGCAGTAAACTTCACAGAAATGTTTTGGGGAGACTTATTTGAATTTGTTGAAAAGGAGTACAATATATGACCTTTCAACAAATTAACCACATTGTGTTCAAATTCACCTCAGTATTCAAAATGTAGTTTTATTCGGGGTACAGACTGTGAGTCATGTTCAAAATACATAAGCTTCACAACATGATCATTCTGAGCTTAATTCAGCTTTAAGGCCAGATAGTATTCATTACATGTTCAATCAGGGATTCAGTCACATGCATGAATGACTTTAACATGGGACAGCTATAAGATCTTGTGTTTAACAACCTTTTGCCGTCAATGTTTGCTGACTTTCCCCTGTACACTACGTGGTGTGTGGTGTGTTACCTTGGTGATTAAGCATGATGTTTTCAGGTTTGAGGTCTCTGTAAATAATCCCGTTTGAGTGGAGGTGACCAAGGGCCATTGTGATCTCTCCTAGATAGAAACTGCACACAGACATGAATCAGTCAAGTCCTTGATACATGAAAGAGGAACCAAAAATTACAAAGTAGGATGAGCAGAGACTCAAACAAAGAGTTATACGCACACCTAGGCTGGGCCCAGACTGAGGGAAGAATTTGTCCTATGTAAACCTGATTCAATAATGAGTATTGCTTGTAAAATGTATATGAACAGGTTTTGTGATATAGCCACAATCATTAGCTTGCTCGCTGTACGTTAGGAAGAGCTAAGAGCCTGAAGTATTTTTTTTTTTTAAATGCAGTTCTTGCTGGTTTTCCTGACGTTGTGCAAGAATTGATCCTGAAAGGTTTATTACTAATTACCTTGCAGTGTCCTCCATGAAGATGCCTTCTTTCTCCAGCTGCATGAACAGTTCTCCTCCTGGTTATAGACAACAGCACAGATGGATTAGCACTAGTAGTATGTATTTATCTGTTTGCTTTAATGGCCTTCACTGTAGATGAGGACAGTGGATAGAGTAAGAGACAGTGATGAGAGAAAGGGTGATGAAATGAGGTAAAGTGCTGAGGGTCAAAAAAACCAAATTAGGCTGCCCACATCGAGGACTATAGTCCCTGTACGAGGGGCACACGACACAACCACTAGGCTATGACTAGTTCATTTCTTAATTCATCTGTTTTGATATCCCTCCATTGTTCAAACTTTAACATTTAGGCAATAAATACAACAAAAAGAATAGGACATGTACGACACACAAATGTGTTTTTTTAATCCTCCTCATACATCAGCTCATCATCCCTGATTTCCTTACCGATCAGACACTCCAGTATGAGGTAAAGTTTTCCTCCAGTCTGGAAGGCGTAGAGCAGATCCACGATGAACGGGTGTCTCACCGTCTCCAGGATCTCCCTCTCTGCTCGTGTATGTGCCGTGTCTTTAGCATTGCACACTATCTTCGCCTGAGGGTGGAAAAATAAAACACAAGACAAAGTGAGTGATGTTTAGTGTAAAAAGACCCAAAGAAGGAGGAAAAGAAAGAAAGGACAGAGTGAATAACAACTGAAAAACAGGATTAAAAATAAAGAAAAACTCAATTAAAACTTAATGTATTATGACCTGACAATGTGTGTCCTAAGCGCTGTTTGGACCAAAAC